GTCAATCACTAGGCTGCTATGTGGAGACTACAACAATGGGACTCCTCTTCCAGATGTCCTGAGCAATCCTTGTTTCAAGAGGGCAGAAGGCTTAGTAGATGGCATTGATTGTCAAAGTGCCTTTGAGGGCACAAGTCCTATAGCCCTACCTGAAGATACTGGGACACGCAATGAGAAGCTGCCACTAAGCCTCTGCATGTCTAAGCACTATCAAAGCAGCACCATAGCCTGTGCTCCTAAGACAACATTTGACATTGATAGTCTCTGCTGCTTTCCTAGCAGCCTTGGCTTTGCTCGTCAAGGCATTTACTGGCTACCAAATGCAAGCACTGCCCTCAATCTGAGGCACGACATCCACTTCAGGCTTAGGGTCCTGACCTATAAGCACAAGGGGGAGCTGTGCTATACAACTCAGCCACTTCATAAGATCCCACATTACTGTTTTGGAACAGTCATTGGCATAGAGTCAGTTCAGATCTACATCTTCTTTCCAGAGTTACATCTTGGAAGTGGTAATGAGCATAGTACTTTCCTTAGCAATGAAGACTTCAAGCTTTGGTATGACTCTGTGCTTATGCCAGCTATCCAGAAAAGTATAGCAGATTCCAATGTTCTGCAGCACTACCCTGTGTCTGCTGAGGTTGTTCGTCTAGATGCCACTGTGCTGTCAGCTGAGAGTTATGCAAAGAAGAGCTCCTCAAGAGAACAGCTTCTCAAGTATGCTCTACAGCCACAACATCTCCACCAGATCTGGACCTGTATTCAAGACAGCATTGCTTGCAATCCCTTGTTTAGTCGCTTTAGAGGTGCTGCACTCTTTGCACACTCTAAAAACACTAAGCTAGAGTACATGGCTGAAGACTTAAGCACTGCTTTCCACAAGTGGCAGGACTCCTGGTCTAGAGTCACAGATCAACAGTTCTGCAGTAAGGAGTCTACCTTTGTTGATCTTGGTAAGCAAGTCACCTCAGAGGATAGCAATCTTCCAAACAACACTACACCTAGCTTGCATAATGCAGAGGTGTTTCTCTGGAGGAAGTGCTGCTTGGATGCCTACTACAAGTCCCGAGTTGTTCTGCTTGCAGACAAAAAACCAGCCAGAGGCAATCCTCATCGTACTGTGTATCCCTTTGCTACAACAAGAGACAGTACTAACCAGACCCTCTTTGCTTCACCAAGTGGAAAAGAACGTGCAGATGGCCTAGTCTACTCTCAGTTCTATGGATTGATTAAGACACCATTTGATACCTCAAAGGCCTATATCTTTCAACAAGATGCATTAGAAAACCTTGCACTAGACCCTGGCTATATTCACTCTCTTCAACAGGAAGGTGGAGGGATTACATTCTCCAAGGCAGTCTGTGAAAAGGCCTATCTCCACATGAAGCAGCGAGCACATGTCAATCTCAGGGACAACCTACAGAGGTCATATGGGATCAGAGAAGAGCATCGGATTTCTCTAACTATGATGGAAGAGATTGAGAGCCAGTGGACCCAACAGGACCTCTACAGTATCTCTGAGGACAGCCCAAGTGCTCCACTCCCATACTACATTGTCCCAACCCAGGAGCTTCTTGGATTCCTCCGTGCCCAGATCAACAAATACTGCTTCTTGTTTGAGCATACCAGAGCCAATACCTTTGGAGCAGTTTCACTAGCTGAACAAGCAGTTATGATAGTAGCTCTTCGAGCACTTCGATTTTGCTATGGAAGCAACATACTATCAGCAGAGTCACTGCTATACATAGACCGCTGGGAGAACAGTAAACAGAAGCTTGTGGTAGTAGAAGGCTTTGGCATGCAGCAGACAATAGAGCAGTGTGGATTAGGCTGGTTCCTGCCCAAGTTTAACTGGGCTACTCTAAGGATCAAACCACCCCATGGGGAGAACTTGCTAAATGGCTGCCTGCTTATGCATACTGAGTACAAGAAGAGATGGCAGGCAGTAAAGGATCTTCAGAACATCTATGTCCGTTTCAACCAAGCAGAAAGGTGGTTCCAAGAGCACAACATTGGCAAAAACCCAGGGCTACTTCGAAAGTGGCTAGAGTATCTCTATGCTCTGAATCTAGAGCAGTTTGATGCCGATGTGTGGAAGGCTATGTTGAAAGCCCATAAGCAAACACAGCAACTTTCTCCTCAAGCACTTGAGCAAAGAGGAAAAATGGCATATTGCTTTGATGGAATGAAAGGTTTTTTCCTTAACAATGGTGTTGTTAGTCCACCTCACATTGTTACAGGGAACAAAGGAGCTTTCAAAGGAGTAGAAGATCTACTCAACTTTCTCTTCTTAGAGGATGAAAGGAAGAGACTAGGCTGGGGGTGGAAACCATTTCGCCAGATCTTACAGAGAACCTTGGATCTTCTAGAAAAAGAGCTAGGTTATCAAAGATCTCAGCTATGGCTAGATCAGTTTCTACACTTGGTCCGCCTGACCCACTGGATCTTACCTTATCCATCAGACCGTGCGCTCATTGAATCAACAAAGACCAGCCAGGAAAAGGGGCTATCTCGAAAGCTTATGTGGTTTTCTGCAATCTTTAACCATCCTACACTGGCTGTACAACAGCCTGAAGAGGACAACCCTAGGACACTTCATGTCTTGTTGTACAAAGCACACCGCAGCACTGGCAGATATGGTAGCATGAACACACCCTGGGATGCTTTTCAACTTATTAAAGCTTATGGCAAGCATGGGATCAAGATGCTTGGTGAAGATGAGTCTAAAGAGTATTGGAGCAGTGGAAGGAGGAGTATTGGCTCACAAGGATGGGCACCAGTATGGGAGCAAGGGAAGCCACCTTTACTTAAAATGCAGGAAAGGATCAGAGGCATGAGCCTTGATGAGCTTGAGGCTATGATGGTTGAGTTTGTGCAAGAGCAGAGTAATCAGGAAAAGGTTATTATTGGCCCAGGAGCTGTATACTCTATTACTGGTACCAGGGCTGCACATGATGCCACTTCTCAAAGCCATAGTGGCAATAGCAGAGTAAACAGCAACCAGGAAAGAGAAGATGGCAGTGCATACCTGCCATCTGAACAAAGCACTTGATAGAGACAAACACAACTACAAGCTGATTTGCAAGGATTCCTTTACATGTTTTATGCACTTTTGACACATTGATACCTTTGTATAATTGGTTTTGTAGCTACATATAATAGCCCTTATGTCTAGCAGCTTGTTACAAAATAAGTCCATATATAGAGTGGACATGTACAATTTTAACCCTTATATTTATACATATTGCAAATCTCACAAAGTTACCTTGTACTAAACAAACTAGATGTAGCAAGACAGAATTTAGATAGTATTTCTTATAGGATCAAATCAAGCATAGATGTAATGTTGACTTCAGTGTCTTTGGGACTATCTACCAAATCAAATGCTATGCTAATGATATAGATATTGGTAAGACTAAAACTGAACATGTTAGCTAGCAAAGCAGGCAAAGAGGTAGGACTTTTGTCAAACAGGTCTAGGATAGGTAGGAACTGTCAAAGCAAGGCAATGTAGATATTGATAGCCCAAGAAAGGTGAACAGTGGAAGACTCTATAGGGTTAGGCCTAGATGAGTTAGTCAAAGACAAAGCAAGGATAGAAATATAGGACGGTAACTTGTCTTGTTAGGTTAAGGATGAGTTATTTGTATCTTGGGTAGTAAAGAAATGAATAGAAAGGACCTAATCAGAGGACCTTGCAAGAATAAGTGATTTCAAAGCTTTTGCAGCACATAGCTCAAGGTATAGAATGTAGTGTATCAAAATCTCTGTACAACTAGATGACAGGATAGCAAGCAATAGGGATCTAAGGAAGACCAAAGGGCAGCATGAAGTCAGTGTGGGCTATAGTGATACATAAAAAGACAGAAAAAAAGAGAGATAGAACACAAGTAATATGACAATAGCTGTCATGTGCTCTACACTAACCCTACATACAGGCTAAGATACTTATACTACACAATTGTTATCCCTTATGATTTATTGGCTGAAAGAGCTCAAACAAGCTCAGCTGGTGAAGCTGTTTGTGTGGTACAGTAGCAGAATGGTTTGATGTTGCATTCCTGTCATGTTGGGCTTCTTCCTCTTCCTCTTCCCCAGTGTCTTCTTCATGTCCTTCTTCATTGTTTTGTATCTCAACACTAGAGAGTACTGCCTGCATAGACCTTGCTTCAATAATAAGCAGCTCTTGCTGGGTGATAGGTCCACCTGCAAGAGCAGCAGGGCCAAGCCATGTATCAAGTTCATGGCTTACAGCTACTGCAATAGGGTTCACTTTCTCTACTGCCTTGAGCCACAGTTCCCATTCTGGCACACGCAATGTCTGTTCTACCCAAGTAGAAGTAACTTGATCATGTGGCATAAGGCAAAGAATGCTCCAGCCCAGCTGCTCTGCTGCTGTCAGATAACGCTTTGCTCGCTTCAGACGCCCGTTGAACACAGTCCAACTAACCCCTGGCACCTCAGCAAATAGTGCCTGCTTGGCCTCAGACAGAATTTTGCCCTTTCCTGCTCTTCTATGACCAGAAGCTGAGCTTGGCTCTTCACATTTCAGCTGTGCAACCTTGTGTTGGTATAGTTGAGCCAAATAAGCCATAGCCCATTGGTACTGAACATAAACAGCACCAAGCTGTGTTTCACAGCCTGTTACAACCTCCCATATGTAACTAAACTGAGCAATAGGACGAGGCTGCATACTATAGGAGGCTTGGCTGTTATGTGTCTGCTTTGGAGGAAGAGTTACAAGCATAGAGCCAGGAGCAGATGCAGAGACCAAGGAATTGCTGGACCCAAAAGTATTTGGAATAGGACTGCCCCTTGTACGCCACTGCTGAAGGAAGTAGTAGGCATGAGACTGTGATGTGTTGTTCCCAAGAGAAAGTGCCTTTTCCACCATGGCAGCAGCTGTTGCATAAGGAGTTTTGGCTGTATCGAAGAAGGTGGATTGCTTTACTGGCTGCTTAATAATCCAGGCAATTGTTGGGCTGGATTTTAGCGATATGAGCCCATAAGCTGTTTGTTCTGCTCTTGGTGCCTGTGGACTTGGCTCAACTAAGCCAAGAGATTGCTTGTGCTGAGCCTCTCTTGCCTTGAGATTGTTGTGGTGTCTTTGCTCAGACTGATGATTCCGGTGGGTTACAGTGGGAACAAGAGCAGTAGGATCTGCCAGGGTTTCCTCTTCCTCAGTGCCAACTTGGACAGCCCTGCCCTTCCCCTTTGCAGCACGCCTCTTTACTACTACCTCCTCATCCTCTTCTTGATTGCTGTCTTCTTCCTCTTCTTGATTGCCCTCTTCCTCTTCTTGATTGCCCTCTTCCTCTTCTTGATTGCCCTCTTCCTCTACTTGATTGCTCTCTTCTTCCTCTTGATTGCCCTCTTCTTCCTCTTCATTGCCTTCTTCCTCTTCTTCATTGCTCTCTTCCTCTTCTTGATTGCCCTCTTCCTCTTCTTGATTGC